CGCTGAAGAATATTCTCCCATGTGAATATTCATACTTGTCCTCCGAGAATGGAGAATGCCTTCTTATTCTACTTGCATAGAGTTGTGTACCCAGATTATAAAACTACCATCTACAATAACTGGATATGTCTGTCTGCCCTAATGTACTCTGAGTCCCTGGACAGGTGATGCAGCTTCTCATTGATCTACATTTGTAGACTTTAGCAGTGAGTGTTGCATGGAGATGCGGTATCATATTTTTATTCTGTTGAATAAATAACTTGAACCAGCCACATATAACTGAATATATTCCTAGATATCTGATTGGAACAGAGTGTGATGTGGGTCCCTATGGTAAATTTCCCTTCCATGGGGAATTGGAGCTGCTCCTTGACCCAGTTCGTATGTAGTCTTCTGCAACCTACTGCAGTACCTTCTTTCAAATTGATATTCAACTATTTATATTCAAGAGTTTATTGTCAACCCTATGATTGTAGGAGAATAAACGTTGGGGTAAAGTGTTAAATTACTCATTTAGGAATATGGGTTTAGCTGGCTTTGTACTCATTAAGATTCATAGACTGGGCTGGTGGGATGGCTCCGTGGTCTAAAGCACCTACTTAGAGCAAGCTTAGCAAAGCACAGGGACCACGGTCACCCCCCCAGCACCACATGCCAGCCAGCCCCGCCCCCTGGTGGGCTGAGCTGGCCACACACACACACACACACACACACACAGAAATAAATAAAATTAAAAAAAAAAAAGATTCATAGACTGATCATTCCAAATATGAGCAGTTTAGTCTTAAGGGTATAATAGTTATCTATTAAGTAAGACTGAGAGTCTATTCAATCCAATATTCTAATATGCTGCTAACTTACTTTAATCTATGGAATATTTTTCCAATATAATTGGTATTTATTATACTTTTTTTTTTTTTTTAAAGACAGAGTCTTATTTTGTAATGCAGTCTGGCTTTGCACTCACTATGTAGTCCAGGCTGGCCTCAGACTTGAGGTGTCCTCCTGCCTCATTCTCCTGAGCGCTGGGATAATAGCCATGCACAGCATGCCTGGCTTATTATACTATTTTTTTTTTGTACTTTAGGGAAGGGTCTACAAGGTGTTCAGGGTCTCACTACTAGATTGGACTCGTAGTGATCCTATTTACAGCCTCCCAAAAGCTGGGATTACAGGTGCGCACCACCACGCCCAGTCTCAACTGCAGTCTCAGTGCGCCTCTGGGTTCGGGCAGTCAAGGCTGGGCCAAGGATCGAACCCCCGGCCCCTGTGCCTGCTTGCAGGTGCTTTAATCCACTGAACTATTTGGCCGATCCTTATTATACTTTTAATATGACTTTTGATAATGGAAACTGAGGTATATAGATTGTAGTGTACTTGGGCTGCTCTGCCAAAGTGCATATATTAGGTGGATTAAGCCACCAAAATTTGTTTTCCTTCAGTTGTGAAGGCTTGAAGTCCTGAGCAGGAGAGCAGCAAGGTGAGGGGCTGGTGAAGGCGCTCTTCCCGGCTTTGCATAGGGTCACTTTTTCATCGTGTGTTAGTGTGAACTCTCCTGTGTATACACTCACGAACGGAGTGCTCTGGAATCTATTTCCGTCCTGCCAAGGACACTGATCCCATCATGGGAGCCTTACGTTCACCACCTCATCGAAGCCTAATTAACTCTCAAAAGTCCCACCTCTACATACCATCTCACTGGGGGCAATACTTCATAATATAAATTTTACGGTGACAAAAGTCTGTTAACATGAATTAAACCACTATCTATGAGTACTTCATCTACTAGCTGGGCAAATCCTAACTCCAAATACTGTTTTTCTTTCCCTAGTAATTTGTCTTTGTTGCTTTTTATACATGGGTATTAAAATAATTAGCATTTTTAGAAGCAAGATGCTACCACTTACCATTATCTGGTATACTACCCCAAACATGAATGTTTCTTTAATGTTTATTTTTAATATATGTTTATCCACATTTCTCAATTGTTTTAGTGCAGGCCAACAATATCAGATCTCTGTCTTTAAAGTCTCTCTTAAAAAAAAAAGCTGAGCTTTCGGTGCTTCTGGCAATTTTATTCTAACACAAGTAGCACCCAGATTGTAATTCTGATAAGTATTTCAGTTCTTTTTTGAAAAATTAAATTCACAAAACAATTGATTATCAGTTATAAATGGCAAAAACACCATCTGGTATTCAAAATTAGTTAAATCCACGTAGCAAGGGGGAAAAATGTTGGAACTTGTAGTTGGCGAGGAGCTCTCGTCCACGGAGCAGCAAATGACGAGCTTTACTATGAGAAAGCCAGAGTAGTCATAACTTGTACTTAGCGGCTGTGGGAATCTGATATGCTCTTCACATGTTCCATATGTTCAATCACTTGGCTACATCTTTAGTGTGAAAGAGCTGGGGGTGGGAGAGGAGCGTGGCTAGTGGGTAGAGTAGCAACAGCTTAATCCTAAATTCTCACCTCTGATTACTTCCCTGTAGGCCCCGTGCCAAAGGTGTACCAGAACTCGGTTTCTCTACCTGGGAAATTGGATGTGCAAGCTCCTTTAATATTATGGCACAGGTGGCATTTCTGCAGAAATTTCTAAAGCGATTTGCATTCCTCTGGTGAGGTAAGTCACACAACATTAGCATTTTCTATAGAAATGTCCCGTGCTGTTCTTTGCCAACTGGAAATTTGAGTAGGTGTTCATGTGATGCGCCAAGAGACTGAAGGGAGATGAAAACACTCCACATCTTCCAATGTCCCCATACTGTGTTCTGAGTGTGGGAGGGACGGGGCCTGGCTAGATTCTCTTGGAGCTCCAGGCTCATGAGGAATGCTTTTCCTTTAGATATATTGCAATCCTGTTATTTTCAAAAATGCTTCTGGGTTGCTGGCATATTGTCATCTTATGTTAAAAATATAACTATCCTTTGCTTATTATTCATACATTGTAATACAAAATTTATTCATTCACTTAACAGAAATTTATTGAGGCACGTTCTGGCATATTGGTTAATTGCATGGGCTCTCTGCAACTTGTCTTAGGGCCATTGCTTAATCTTCCTAACTATGCTTAAAGAATGTACAATGGTAGATTACAGTATGTACCATGGAGATTGTTCCTAGGATTGATATTTTGGATGTAAAATGCTTAATAAGAATTTAACAAACACAAAAATAGTAATACTAATAGAAAATATTAATACTACTATATACCAAGTCCTGTGCTAGTGTTCCTGGTAGATAAGACCTGATTTAAGTTTATATGTCCCTTTCAGCATACAGATTTCCTCCAATTCTTTTTATCTTGATCTTGGCAGGACTCCGTTTTACACTGGGTCTGATCTCAGCAGCTTCGCTTCTAGAGAGGTGACAGGAAAAAGTCAGACCTTGGAGACTGGGCATTATGTTGGTGACCGTGTGCAGTTGGTTTCTTGCCTCATGTGCTGTGATTTGCCTGCTGGAGCCCTCCCTACTTCTGGAGAACTGCCTGCAGCTCCTGCATCCGGGCCTGTAATTACAGAGCAGAAAATCCAGGCTCAGAAGACAGGGCAGTCTCGAAATTAGTTTATGCATAATGGATAATAGGAGGCTGTTTTAAAGTGTAACTCATTTGGTGGGCTGGCAGATCTTGACTTTCTTTTTGATATGTATTATTTATTTATTTATTCTTTTTTTGTGAGATGAGGACAGAGGCTAGGGAAGTCACTTCACACAGTTCTTCTAGACTATAGCTCAGATTTAGCAATTTACATTCAATAATCCCTTGGTCATTTAGCCACAGATAATTTGTCATGGTTTGTTTTAGCTGTTGTGATATTGATATTTATTATGCAAATTGTATTTCCTACATCTTATTGTTCTGCATTCTATGAATACTTAAATTATTATAAACCTTTACACTTAATATGGCTCGTCCTTCAATTTGATGCTTGAGCAACCGAGGGTCAGAGCGCACACGATCTTCTAGAGGAGAAGAAAATAAGTAATTAAAAAGCAGACAAACAAGACTCGGCTGCCTGGATGAAAAGAAAGCCAAGGTAATTTCAGCTAGGGAGATAGCTCGAGCCCGGAGCCGCCAGTGGCTCCAGCAGGAGACCCTTTCCCAGAGCCCCGGGAAGCGGAGAGCACCTGTTGGTCTCCAGCTGCCTCAGGAGGGGCCAGGTGGGGGCGAGGGTGGGCGCAGAAAAGAGAGGGAGTCTGTGCCCTGAAGGAGGAGCGTGGCTGAGCACCCCTGTTTCCCACACTCTCTCTCCCTGCAGTCTTGACCAACTACGGTAAATTTTTGTTTTGTGTGTGTAATCTTAACTATATAACCGTACCTGTGTGTTGCATCTACATATATACATATTAAACTAAGAACGAGACCCTCAACAAAACCAGGGAGCCTGAGCGTACCCTCCTCGCTTAACCTTTGCCGAGGATCTAATGCGCAGACCGGAAAATCCCAGAACACGATTCCACGGCTCCTGCCTTCCAACTATCCCCAAGTCCACCGCTAGGCTGTTGAGCAGGCTCTCCCGCTCCGCCGGACGTGCACAGCACGCATGCACTTCTCCCAGATTGCTTTGTCAATCCGGGAACCTGCATTCTCACTCTTCACTCCTGGAAGCCCCAATTTCCCAACGATCTTTTCCTTCGTACAAGGTGAGTGACGGAAATCTGCAACGCCTGGCTTCCAGGCCAGAGGTACACGGTGTACGAGGCAGAGGACCTTGTAGAAGGGAGAGTCTCCAGTCTTCCATCTGATACCGAGAGCTCCGTAAACATTCCTAATAAAGGTGTACGCGAAGCTAGACCCGCCCCCTGGAGTCCGAGCCCCTACTCGCGGAGCGCCCGGGAGATCACTTTTTCCTTGATCCGGGAGAAGCCAAGACGAAATTTTAGCATAAACGTATTTGCATACGCCCCTCCCCTTGGCCCCGCCCCTAGGTGGCGCGGGCGCGCCGCCGAACGCCAGCGCCAGGGGGCGGGGTGGAAGAGGGGGCGAGTCCTCAGAGAGCGGGGTTGGGTTTGTGGCGCGGTGATTGGTTCATCTTGACTCCGCCTTCCGTGCATTTAATTAGCATCTCATTAGCTGTTCGCTCGGGCTCGGGAGGCAGCCAACGCCGCCAGTCTGAGGCAGGTGCCCGACATGGCGAGTGCTGTGCTGCCGAGCGGATCCCAGTGTGCGGCGGCAGCGGCTGTAGCGGCGGCGGCGGCGCCTCCTGGGCTCCGGCTTCGGCTTCTGCTGTTGCTCCTCTCCGCTGCGGCGCTGATCCCCACAGGTAGGTGTGAGCACTAGCTGGCTGGCCCCGAAACCTCCGTGGGCACCCTAGTAGCAGTAGCTGTGGAGGGAGGGGGGAACGTTTCCATGACAACCTCCCCCCACTTCCTAAATCCGAAGCGGTGGGGTTGTAGCGGGGAAACTCGGAAGGGGCTGACGGGGTCGGGCGCAGCTTTTCTGCGGCGGGCTGACTGAACGTGAGCCCTCAGGGATGCCTGCACCCACACCTTTCCCCCTGGTTTGGCGCGCAGTGCGGAGTAGAGTGAAGATGGGGCTGAGGGGCCGGAGAGTTGGGGGGAGGGGGATCGAGGGCACCTGAAGCCGCCCGGACCCTCCGAACTCGCTGTCGTCCCGGTAACTTGCAGGTCCTTCCTCCCTTCTGCCAGGGTGCCCTTTCCTCTGTTTCCCCAGTCCCGCAGCCCGCGAGTCTGTCCCCACGACTGTGCTCGCCGCCTCCGGCGTGATCCTCGCTGGTCGCCAGGACTCCTCAGACCTTCCTGGTCCCCGCGCTCCCCGCGCTCTGCTCTCGCCCCTGCCCCCGCGCTGCACGCCTCTTGTGTTTGCCTACGACCGCTCGAAGCCCCGCCACCCCCTCTCCGTTGCGGGGCTCCTTGGCCCGGCTCCAGGCGGGGAAAGTTCCCCGGCCCGGCCCCGCGAAGGGGGCGGTCGTTGTCGCCGCCTCTGCGGGAAGGCGCGGGGAGCCCGCAGGTCGCCCGCCCCGTGGCGCCCTAACCACGAGCCGGGACGCCGGATTTCCGGGCAGCCGGTGCTTTGGGCTGCCCGCTGGGGGCAGAGAGGGCGTTCGCGGCCTCTGCGGCCGCCCGGGCGCCCTCCGCGTGGAGGGCCATCTTGGGAATTTGCCCGGGGCGGCTCTACACGCCCGGCGCCCTCCCTGAAGATGCCGCGCGCTCGGCAGGAGCTCCGTGTGTGGCTGCCTGTGTGCCGGGCGCGTTGGCGCGTTCGGGAAAGAAGAGGGCAGTGTTTGCTTTTGCTAACAAAAGGGAGCTGGAGCTGTTCCCCAGTGGAGAGGCCGGCCGTGCTGCACCCTGCCTCCTTCCCGCCACCTCGCCGAGCTCGTCAGCCGCACGGCCTCCCAGCGCTCTTGGCGCTGGCTGCGAGCTCCAGGAGAGCGCCGGGACCCAGCTGCACCCGGCCGCGAGGGGCGGGCGGCGGTGCAGGAGGGGATGCACCAGGGCTCTGCGCCTGCAAAGCCCCTTCTTGCGGCTCGGGAGCTGCAGGACCCGGGAGCAACAAGTGGCCGAGGACGCGGAGAGCTCAGCCCCACCTGCAGAACCCCCGGCCGGGGGAGCGCAGTGCTGGGGCCACCGTGCCGCTCCGGGGGCGCCTCTCAGCTTGGGCTGTGCCTTTTGTTTACACGCTAGAGGACACACAGTTATGTAAACACCGCAGGAAACACGCTGTAGGAAACGGGAATATCTGGGGATGCTAGCTCTGGGTTTGGGGGATGCCGGGTTGATTGCTCGCCCTCCAAACAGTCTTGGCAGAGGAGCTCGGCGTGGGGAACCTATTGGGGTTTATAGGGGTGGGAATCTGGCAGCAGCTTCTATTCCAGCGTTGAGGATTTTTTTTTTTTTTTTCCTCCTTTCCACACCACACTGGCTGTCTCCGGATGTTGTTTATGTGTTTTTCCTCTGTGAATTCTTAATTTATGAGTTACGAGATAATTAGGTTCTACCGATGCCAGTGTGGTTACAACTTCATTTCGGGCGATGCCGCTGACGGGAAGGGTTGGAGAAAATGTTCCTGAAAGAGATCCCCGGTGCTGCTGCATTGTAAAAAGCGCTAGTGTCAGTTAAACGTGAGCGTGAGTAAAGGCTCGGTAACTGGTGCATAATAGAAGCAACAATAGACTTGTATTGGCAGCAAAAAAAAAAAAAAAAAAAAAAAAAAAAAAAAAAAAGCCTCACAAGTCCCATGTCTCAGTAGAATAAGCACTTCCCTGGCCAGCGCAAGGACCTGAGTTCAATCCCCAGTTCTGAAAAAAAAAAAAAAAAAAAAAAAAAGGAGGGGGAGGGATGGTGTTGGTGGTGGGGCGCTCTGGTCGGTATTGCCTTAGCGCCGACATGGGAGCCATGCCTTGCCGCTTGGCAGCAGAGTAGGATTAGATTATGCCTCCCCTGTCAAGCCTGCTCATTGAAGGCACCGGGTAGTAACAACAGTACTATATTTGTAACTATCTCGAGGCGAGAAGTTGCCTTCCCAGCGAGGGAGATGTGCTGACTTAGAAAGGAGCGGTCTGGAACGCAACCGTGCATGTCAAAGCTACAAGAAAATTCTGTTGCCAGTTACCATGGAAGCAGCTTCTTGCTCCTGTGTACCTCCCTGTTTGTAGTCTGGTTATCAGATTGTGTTCAAATTAGGAAGTAATTGGGCTTGATTTGTAGTGAGGGCATGAGATGGCTTTCTTTCATTTTGTTCTTTGAATGCTTGTTTTTTATGTGGTGATTTGAGAGAGTTTGGTCCCACCCTTTAGTCCTTTGCTCTGGGAGATAAATTTCAGGTGGACTCCTAGGGACTTTTCTTCCTCAGCACTCTTAGTTTAAGCTTTCTTAGTGGCCTCTGCTTCCCACATCATGGTTAAAGAAACCTGTTGGTGCTGTCTTCTAACTTCATTAGGCTTGCTTCATTTACATCCTTGCTGCTAAAGCAAACTCTGGTCATTGTGCAGGGGCTCCTGGTCGATGCCCCCTGTAACTGAAGCTCTCTGCCTACTCCCCCATCTCCTCTCATCTCTCCTGTGGTGTTCAGAAGACATGGGTGTTGATGAAATGCAGCCCAAATGGACTTGCCCAGGCTGTGCTCACCGTGCCTCTTAGGCTGAAAGCCCATGCATGTTGTTTTGGATCCTGAAGGAATCGTGGTAGATCACTGCCCCGCACCAACACACACCTTTTTTTCTGTATTAGAGAAGATGGCTGATGGGTGGGGGACTGGGTGGCAGTGACTGCAAGCCCAGGGCTGATTTTTGCTTGCCGCAGCCTGTTGGGGCTTGCAGACCAGGGACAAGGACTTTACAAAAGTGCCGCCCTGCTATTGTTGCCTTTCCCTGCATCAAATTGAATAGCCGCAGGAGGGACTTGCACTTGCCTGTGATAGCTTTGATAAAATATCCCTCATTAATGCCACTTTATATTTACAGTGTGTCACTGGAGACGCACAAGGCTTCATTTAGTGACTTGTGTGACGAGACAAGCTTGCATTATTTGCCTGGGACATTTTGGAGGAACAAGAGACCCATTGAGCGATCTTTTGAAATGAACAAATACGAAAAAGGGGGGAATAAAAGAGCAGGCAGTTCTCTGGAACAAAGAGCTTTATTCATATGGATGTTGTACATGCTTTATCCAGTTTTCCCCAATGGCCCTCCTGGTAGACAGGAGTGGGGCAGGGAAGACCAACAACAGGCAGGACACTTTCGCTTCCTTTCTCACTTCCTGACTTCATATTCTTATCCGCGGAGTTGGTCCCTGACTCACTGCCTGCTCCTGCCTCTCCTGTCCCTCTGAAATCCCAGAAGATAATGGGTTCCTGGGTTTCAAAAGGAGACTTTTGGTCTTTTCTCCTAGCACTGAATTTATCAGAAGAAAGTTTTTGCTACCTGTTGAGATTGATGATCGGTGGAAGATATATTGGTTGAAGGGAAAGAGATGTCACTTTTCTGTGACATGTGTCAAGAAGTGGTTGAAAGTGAATGTCAGATTGGTAAGATGTCTTGCAATTATAACATTAGCCTTACTAGATTTATTTTTTGAGAAATGCTGTGAAAACTAAATTCAAAATTTTCATTATAATGAATGGCATTTTTGAAATTTTGTGGACTTTTTCCTACTCCTGGTAAATTTTAATCTCATACATAAAGTGGATTTTTACTCTATAGCTTGTATTGCTAAATTGTTTTTTAGGCTTTAAAATTGATAATATTGCTGTGGATATAAATTGTCTTATTCTTTTTGGGTTTCTGTAAATGACATTTTAATGACTAATTGGCCACTTAGAATTTAAATTTTAAAAATCTGTGTCTAACAAAGGCCTATTTTCATATGGGGGAATTTTTAAAATGGGGCCAAACTAATTGATGCGTGATTGGAAGGGAAATTGACCAGCATGTAAAGATAATTTATAAGAAATAAATCCAAAGGCTTAAAAATGCTGTATATATTTCTTGGGAGGAATAGTACTGACCGTTACGCTGGGCATTTTTAACAGAAAATCCAGCACAGAAGGGAGAAATCACACAGCGACATCTGTTGCAGAATTGAAAATTTGCTACTTCGACTTATAAGCAATTAGTCTGGAATAATCACCTAATGGTATCAGTGTATATGTATATTGCTATAGATAGACATACATATATACGTATATATAATGTATATGCACATTATTCAAAACTCACCTACATGCAGTGTTCATATTCATATTAAAAAGTATTTAATAGCAAAAGTAATCCATCAATGTTAAAACTCTTTTACAAAATTCTTATAGTTATGGATACTAGAAATCATTCTGGGAGATCTTTTGAATTTGAAGTGAGGCAGTTGATAGCCAGAGAGGGAAGGACCTTGCTCCCAGCTGAACTGAGGCTGAGTTGGCCATAGACCCTGGCAGAGGACAGGTCCTTGATTTCTAGCCACCGAACATTTTGGCAGGGATGCAGTCAGAGATATGGATGCGGAAGGATGATACCTTGGCTAAAACTATTTTGTATTCCAAAGGCAGCAAGATTAATTATTGCTCTAGGTAATAAAAACTTGGATCAGAAGGAATAACCTCTGGGAAGAAAGGACCAGGTCTTTGCAGTGTTGTCTTTGGTGTTGACAAATGATTCTGAAACCTCTGGACTTTATTTGGCAGCCACCCTGCGAATATCATCTGGAGCACCTTCATAGGGGCCAATGCTGGGTATGTGTCGCTCTGTTAAGTCAGATAAGGGAAACCCAGGTTCAGAGGACTCAGGTTTTGATTTTTAAGATTTTTGTCTTT